GTTAACATTTCGATAAGTCGAAATAACACCCTTTAAGGCCAAGGGCCTTCGCCAAAAAGAAGAGTTCGACCTCGATCGAACGACGACAGTTTAACATTTTGACAAGTTCGAAATAAAACCCTTTAAGGCCAAGGGCCTTCGCTAAAGAAGAAGAGTTTGACCTCGATCGAACGACGACGGGTTAACATTTCAATAAGTCGAAATAACACCCTTTAAGGCCAAGTCCTTCGCCAAAAAGAAGAGTTCGACCTCGATCGAACGACGACGGGTTAAAATTTCTATGCGTTCGAAATAACACCCTTTAAGGCCAAGGGCCTTCGCCAAAGAAGAAGAGTTCGACCTCGATCGAACAACGACGGGTTAATATTTCGACAAGTTCGAAATAACACCCTTTAAGGCCAAGGGCCTTTGCCAAAAAGAAGAGTTTGACCTCGATCGAACGACGACGGGTTAACATTTCGACAAGTTCAAAATAACACCCTTTAAGGCCAAGGGCCTTCGCCAAAGAAGAAGAGTTCGACCTTGATCGAACCACGACGGGTTAAAATTTTGACAAGTTCGAAATAACACCCTTTAAGGCCAAGGGCCTTCACCAAAAAGAAGAGTTCGACCTCGATCGAACGACGACGGGTTACATTTCGATAAGTCGAAAAACACCCTTTAAGGCCAAAGGCCTTCGCTACAAAGAAGAGTTCGACCTCGATTGAACGACGACGGGTTAACATTTCGACAAGTTCGAAATAACACCCTTTAAGGCCAAGGGCCTTCGCCAAAGAAGAAGAGTTCGACCTTGATCGAACGACGACGGGTTAACATTTTGATAAGTTCGAAATAACACCCTTTAAGGACAAGGGCCTTCGCCAAAAAGAGGAGTTCGACCTTGATCGAACGACGACGGGTTAACATTTCGATAAGTCGAAATAACACCCTTTAAGGCCAAGGGCCTTCGCCAAAAAGAAGTGTTCGACCTCGATCGAATGACGACGGGTTAACATTTCGATACGTTCGAAATAACACCCTTTAAGGCCAAGGGCCTTCGCCAAAGACAAAGTGTTCGACCTCGATCGAACAACGACGGTTTAATATTTCGACAAGTTCGAAATAACACCCTTCAAGGCCAAGGGCCTCCGCCAAGAAGAAGTGTTCGACCTCGATCGAACGATGACGGGTCAATATTTCGACAAAATCAAAATAATACCCTCTAAGGCCATGGGCCTTCGCCGAAGAGAATTCAAAATGTCCCTAAGGCCAAGTGCTATCAGAAAATATAAAGGGAAAGAAATACCGGGACTCGCCATGCGGGAATCTACCTCGCACCAAAGTCGCAAAAATCAAAAACATGGTAAAGTACAAGGCAAATAACAACGAAAAATTCTTCTTTATACAAAGTCACTGCGCAATTTTAAGTTCCTTTCCTGCCAATTATAGTACTTGCTCCTAGATAGAGCCATCCTATAGATTTTAGCTTTCCTACATTTACCTCGTGCATTGCTTACTGTATGGGTCAAAATTAGACCAGAGAAATTCGGCACGCAAAGACATAAGGCCAAAGTCGGGCAGGCCGAGGTCGGACGGTGATGAAACAACTAGCCTCCTTTGGAATCCTCAAAAGGAATATTCTAATGAATATTCCCTCTAATTGTACTTTTTCTTTCAATATTTTTCTGGGAATACCCCTTATAAATTGGAGGGGAGGACTCCCCACAGTGGGGGCTGGCTCTCTCTCTCTCTCCCTCTCCCTCTCTCTAGAAAATGTATAAACACATCTCTTAAAAGAGAAAAAAGAGGATCTGTGATCCCAAAACTTCATGAGATTCAAAAAGGGTCCTAGGATTCGTGTATTTGTCTATCATTCATCTTTATCTTTATCAAATGAAAGAGGATCCGCCTCGCTCAAAATCGGGCGAACCCTTTCCTTTATTTACATTTTATTGCCATGTAATGCTACCTAATGCATCTTTCTTTATGCTATTAAATCTGGCCATAATCGCCACCAACATTTATACTCGGCTATGTTTTTCTATTCATATTATTCATCTCAGATCTAGAGTTAATTATCCTTAACTAAGATTTACCCCTTCATCTTTGATTGATTTGCTTAGAAAGAGTTTAACATCTTTTGAGTCAAACACTTACTGCCCATGCTACCTCCTCAGTCCACTCCATTACAGCTCTATTAATACCTTGCCATCTGAGGAGTTGCTGCCAAATTTTATATGTTGAGTGCTTTCTTTCTCTTGCTCCCACAAAGGGCATATCGGGCTACTTTGAATCTCCCACTGGATGAGTCTATCTCTCGTTTACAACATATTTTGTACTACCAAGTATTAGATGAAGTTTATCTTGGACTGTTTTGGTTGTTACATATCAACCTCCTCCAATGAGCTTTTGGCATAGTCACCTCTCATGTTGTTGTATATTGCCCTTATGGAGAAGTTATCCCTGCTCGTGATCTCTTCTACTGTTAGCCCAACATCCTCAAGATATTTCCCTGCTTTGACGATCGTTTGCACAACCCAGGAGGCTTGCTTTGGATTAACTTCTCTTAGCATAGTCTCCTTTATATAATATGTATGAACTCATTTAATCCACAGTCTGTCCTTTTTCTGTCCCAAGTTACAAGTGCTTCTGAATAGCTGCTTTATTCCATCAGGCAATGTTTGTTATGTTCAAGCCACCAGCAACTTTAGGCAAACATAGTTTATCCCAGGCAATGAGAGCCTTTTTGGAACATTGTGCAGCACCTGTCCAAAGGTAACTTCTGCATATTTCTTCAATCAGCTGGATGATCTTCTTAGGCAGTATGAATATTTGAGACCAAAAGTTTTGATAGCTGTAAACACACTTTTAATCAGTTCTAGCCTGCCTGCATAGGATAGTAGCTTTGCAGTCCATGTAGTGGTCCTTCCTATCATCTTGTCCAATAATGGTTGGCAATGTCCAATTGACAACCTCTTAGAGCTTAGAGATACCCCTAGGTATCTGAATGGTAGTATTCCGACTTTGAAGCCTGGTGCTTGAATTATTTCCTGCTTCATAGATGGCGAGACCCCTCCAAAGTAGAAAGGGATTTTCCTTTTATTAGCAACTAGTCCAAATGCCTTAGAGAAGCTGGTAAAGCATGCATAGAGCAGCTTAGCAGAAATCACATCACATCTGCAGAATAGCAGCAGGTCATATGCAAATTCCAACTGCCCTATTTTTAGTTTGGAACACCAGGGATGATAGTTGAAATCTAGATTGTCCTTCAGAGTTTTTAGGAGTCTAGTAAGGTATTCCATTGCTATGACAAAGAGATATGGGGATAGGGTATCACCCTGCTCACACCTCTTTTTGCAGCAAAGGGTGCGGTTGCCTTACCATTGACTATAATAGAGTACGAGACTGTTTGTATGCATACCATAATCCATTTCACAAAAATCTCAGGAAAGTTTAGCCCATTAAGAACATGTTCAAGAAACACCTACTCTAATGAGTCTTAAACCTTTTGCATGTCTATCTTGAATATTTCTCTTATCGTCATTTTTCATTAATTTTTAAATATTTTGAATTGTTAATTATTGTGACTAATGATGCTTTTTATATTTTTCAAATATGTCATTTTATTTTACAAAAAACTTAAAGATTCTATGTTCAAATTCACGATCAAATTACGAAATTTGACTCTCAAAATCTGCAAATCTCACATAAATTGGAACAGAGGAAGTAGCATTAATGCCATAAAAATTTTATGGGGGGGGGGGGGGGGATAACAGCTTGTTTGGATGGTTGTTGTGTATCGTTTCATAATGTATCATATAGCATTGTACTGTATTGTAGTGTATCGATTTGATGTATACAATGTTTGAATAGATTGTATTGTTATCCATCGTTTCATATTGTCATGCACCAATTATATGAAGAATAAACTTACAATATTATAAAGAAAAAATAAGGTACGAGGTAATGTTCCAAATAGTCTTGCGTGCATGAGGAAGGAATTCAAAGCTACATTTAATTTGTATCTACTTATGTATGAGTAAAATTTACCCATTGGGTATGCCCCGGAAGTCTCGCGTCCAGAGATCGAGATAGATGACGGGACCCACTATGGGGTTCGGCAGGTGCGCTTGCTTTGGGGACGATGGTCATCAGAATCTCAAGCGGGCCTTTGAAAGGTGGACGCACTTATCTGAAGACTCAGTCAACCGCGTTCGGAGATCGTGGATATCACACGTTACACTGAAGCGGTTTCCACTATCGAAGATCTCGCTCTCCACTACCTAACCCCCTAGTGTGCTTGCCCAAACCTCGGAACGACATCACTCCCTCTATTATTATAAAGGTCGTCCTAACGCTTGAGGGGGAATCATATATCGAAAGAAAGAAAGAAAATTCTCTTCGTACGAAACATCATCTTGTATTAGAATCTTTTTTAAATAGCTTTGTAACTCAATTATTCATGCGATCCGAGATTGTTCGGGGATTGAAAATCAAGAAGATTTCCTCTACATTATCATTCTATTTAATCTATTCTGTTCTTTCCTATTTATCAAGTGAACAAAATAAGGTTAAAATAGCACGGGCTAGCTAATTTTTGGACTAGTAATTGAAAAATAACTAGCGTTTGCAAAGTAATTGAAAAATAGTCACTATTTTGCTGCACACGGAAAGTTCCAGTATAATATTCTGAAGATTGGAGCACATGTGTATGAACTTCCAGCATATTATGCTGGAACTTCAGCTCACGGAAAGTTCCAGCATAATATACTGGAGATTCTGATTACTTTTGAAATTGTGGTATTTTTCAATTAGCACTTGTAAGTCAGACTATTTTTTAATTTCACCCCAAAATAAGCTGTCCAAATTGGTTCACAATTTTAAATGGGCTAGGGTTAATTCCACATTAATCCATGAGGTCTTTATATAAATAGTCAATCCAATTATTTTTTGTTTAAATGTTGGACACACCGGTATTTAGGTTAATTCTTCGTAAATAAATATCTAACCTTTTCAAGTCATCCACGGTATCACAAGAAACGAGGAGACTAAAGTCGCTAAAGTCTATTCCCGTCGGCAAGTTTCTTCTTTCTCTTCAACATGGCGCCGGTTTCTGCAGAAGGTGATGGTTTGAACTTCTTCTAAAACATACTGTATTTGGTTTATCATATGATTTTTTTTCATCTTCTTCTTCTATATGTTGGATTGTAACTTTGTCCTTTATGTTCAAAACGGACAGAAGTTAACGTTGGAAATAGAGATGCATCACCAGTTCGTTACTTGTTGAAGTTTGAATCTTTTTCTGTACTCTCAACGAATGGTATAAACAAATATGAATCAAGTGTCTTCGAGTCCTGCGGCTACAAATGGTACTATTCATCATTAGTTAAAATCATATTTTTATCTTTATTTTGAGTTTTTGGTATGAATAATCTTCACTGCGTACCTTGACTTATGGTGTCAATGTATTGAATATGGGTATGGTCTTTCTTGAGCACAATGACATGCAGAGGTGGATTTTACGAGATATAAGTATGGGTTTAATCTTTAAGATTTTTAAATTGAACTTATTATATGCATAGTTGAGGAGACCAATCATGAACACTACAGAGTTGGGAGCGATACTGGTCAGGGAAGGCTAAGACGGTGCCTCGCATATGGGTAGCAAGAGGGCGCTTATCCCCGGAAGGTGGGGCCTTATGGGAAAGGGCCTAGCCCCAATAGGGACAACACATCCCCCACTTCGAACACCCTCTAAATACCGATTTAATCACTCTTTTGGTCTAGTATGTGGTACCGGTGACCGCGAGATACTGATTACCGAAGTTATATAACTAGTTACTAAATATAAAAAGGTGGTTAATGATACAACAAAAAAATAAATAGGAAGTCGCTAATCTTTTTAGGAAGGACAAAAAGGAGGAAATAGTGCCAACCAAATTGGCGCGGAGAGGGTATATCAGTAATGTTTTTTCTCTAAATGAGTAAAAAGTACAAAATAATATGAAAAGACTGATAATACCACACATTCCGGTGCAGATATGAATTTAACTGTTCATTGCATTTCGGACAGGAAACTGATCATATATCCTGATGGAGATGTAGAAGATGGACATGATCATATTTCTGTATATTTGGCCATTGCCGAGACAAGCTCTTTACAGGCTGGTTGGGAGGTGAATGCCACATTTAGCTTCTTGATATTTGATCAAATTCATGACAATTATCTTATAATGAGAGGTATAGTTTTCCCTTCTCTGGAATTTTTCTTCTTTGAAGTCTTTTGAAGTTCTCAAAACATGAAAGTACAATAAATACATAATTTCAACTTATCAAAATAAAATATAAAAGTAAATTGATCATTTCCGTTTTAAATGAGAAATTCTTAATGTATCTGTTTTTTGTTGTCGTTAAAACCAAGCACCAAGGCTTTCACTTATTGTGGTGTTGGGGGATTTAGCGTTGACCCTTACCTTGTTTATTAAGATCGGGAGAAATTACAACAAGGAGGGGACATAAACCTTACCTCCGGAGTCCTAGCATAACTAATGACATGGAAGCACCTACTAAACAAAATACAATGAAGATGGTCTTCTTTGTGGAGTTTGATCAGTTTATCAATTCTTTCTGTAGTTTTTTTAGACTTCATTCCTCTTATATTCCAAATAATGATGTTCATCATTGGAAACAGAATGGGGGGAAAGAGGCACCTTAATTTTGAGTGCTTTGCGGAGGCTTAACACACACGTATTAAAGGGACTTTCTAAGGTAGTACTTTATTGCAGGAATGGCTCAACGATTTCACAATATCAAGACTGATTGGGGTTTCTCGAAATGTATATCTCATGAAACATATAGAGACCCGTCGAACAGTTACCTTGTTAATGACAAATGTGTATTTGGAGTAGATGTATCTGTTATCAAGAACCAAGGATTAGGTGAATGTGTGTCCTTGTTGAATGAGACCAAGTCTAATCAGCATAAATGGAGGATTTCTGAATTCTCAAAATTAAAGGATAAGTTGTATTCTGAAGAATTTCTTGTAGGTGTTTACAAGTAGTATGTTATTCTTGTCTTCTTATACGTAACATGTATATTAATTTTCCGCCAAATACATAGACAGGCCCTTAAACTTGCTACTACTATTTTTCACCTATTAGACACTTTAACTGTGTATAAAATGTGCCAATTGAACACCTCATGCTGAGGTGGCACAAAGAGTGATTTACACATGCTCTTGAGCACGTGATTAACTAAAATATTTAAAAGAATTTCTTTCTTCTTCTCTCTTCTTCGTTACCAATGACCTCTGTTGCAGCAAACCTTGTAATTGAAACATTCTCAGGCTATGATGACCAATAACCTACAACAAATTAGAACTTCATATGCCCAAAGCACCAATAACCTACAACAAATTAGAACTTCATATACCCAAAGCATTGTATAAACTATGTTCAATAATATATATACTCTTTTGATTACAAACGCATGCCATTTTTAAAGTCCAAACTATTTTGGTTTGTAATGGTACAACTACGTAGTATCATTCGTCTGTAAGGGATCAAACCCTCTCAACCAAAAGGAGCAACAATTTCTTCTATGCCTACTTCCTTGTATGTATTTTGCGTTTATTTGCAGCTGGAGCTAAATTATTCTTTGTTGTGTTCCTCATTTTTGTTCGGAAACCCAGATCCTTCCTCCTTAAAAGATTGTTGTATCTCGGTGACTTCTTGACTTTTCGATGGTTTGTATAACGGTCTTCGGCAACTTTCTGTTGTTACATTGCAACTAAGACAAACCTCTTGATGACTGCGGGTGTCGTGCTAGTCCGTTGATCTGTCCAGCGACTCACCATTGATGGTCGTGTTTGGATTTGTGAAACTCCATTCATGTCTCTATCACCGGCGACTTTGTCAAAAAAGTTCTTTTTTTCAGATTCCAAACCGGAGGCATAAGTTTGAAGGTTTGTTAATGGAGAGTTTTAATCGTTAAAAACAATGGAGAGTTCTAATCGGAGAAAAAAGAGAAAGTATGGGAAGAAAAAATTAAAAAAAAAATCAGAACAGTCACGTGTCCTCTTTTAGTTCGGTGTTATTGCCACATCGCCGAGTGTAAATGTCACGCGCTTTATTCTTGCCAGAGATCATCAGGGAGGTGTTTAATTGGCACATTTTATACACAGTTAAAGTGTCTAATAGGTAATAGATCTCAGTTAAAGTGCCTAAGTGAAAAATAGTACTAGCAAGTTTAGGGGCTTGTCGATGTATTTGGCCTATATTTTCACATTTCCATTTTCTGTTTTTCTTTGTAATGCAAATTAAATTTCTTAATTATGTTGGATGTAGGAAGCTTTTGCTTTATCCTACAGGCAATGCTGATCAAAGGAACAATAGCATATCAATATACCTTGTATCAGTTGATGCTGGAAGTTTTGATCGCCAAAAGAGGATGAAGGCAAAATTTAGCATTTCTGTTAAAGACCAGATAAGTGGTGAACATAATAAGCGCGGTGGTACATTCTTTTGTTCCTTAATTAATTTGTTCAACTTTTGTTAATTCCTGTATTGGTAGGTAATATGCTTTATAGAAGGAGCATTATTTACCTTATGAGTTTATCTTTGAGGAACTTCCACAAGTTCCTTATTTTGTTCAGGAAAGGAAAAATAAAACGAGTACGAACAATTAATGAAGTCTTTGTTTTCAGGGTTGAGTTTGATTGAATGATCACTATACTCAAACTTTTGTAAGGATTCAGGCTCATCTAGTAAATAGCTAACAACTTTTCTACTTGTACTGGTTTAGTTTTCGTCGATTATTTAGGTAACTGGTTTATGAAGGATCAGAAGCTCCTCTCTCTTTTTCTCTTTTGAGTAGTTTGACGTTCTTTTGCAGATACATCGCATTGGTTTTCAGCTGCTCATGAAGACGACTGGGGTTTTACAGCATTCATGCCGCTACATGAATTCAAGAATCCTAAAGGCTACCTTGTTGAGGACTGCTGCATTGTGGAAGCAGATGTTTCTATAATTGGTGCTGTCAATAGTTTAACCTAATCCTTCATCTATGATCCAAAAATGCTGCTATCTTGTGAAACATCTCCTTTGGATGCATGCAATTCATTTCCACAGCAAGTTGATGTTAACTTGTTAAGTTGCATATGAGTTTGGTCAAAAGATGGCAGGAACTTAGCCTAATGCATCTGATATATACATGCGGTTCAGCTATTCTCTAATTTTATACTATCTGATTTCATTGTCTATCAAATTTTTTGAGTTTGATTACATGACACTTGTCTTAACTTGTTTCATTCAAAGTATTTCCTCTAGATTTTAAAGCATTTTAAACAAATTTATACTAATAGATAAATTTCAACTATAATAATATTGTCAGTAGAATTTTTCCAGTATTTTTATCATATGATGAATATGAAAAGTACTTGCAAGAATTGGATGATGAAGTTTCTTTATTATTGATAACTAGTATTAGTACATGCGTGACGCGCGATCGATATCAAAAGTAGCTAATTGTAGTATATTAATATTCATATCTTATTTATAATGTTACATCACACATTGTATTGGGGCGGGACGGATGAAATGGAGACTCGCTTCCGGTGTTTTGTTTGACAAGAAGGTGACATCGAAACTTAAAGGTAAGTTCTACAGAGTGGTGGTCAGGCCAACGATGTTGTATGGGGCTGAGTGCTGGCCAGTCAAGATCGCTCATGTCGAGAAGATGAAGGTAGCAGTGATGAGGATGTTGAGATGGATCAGAAATGGAGTTATTCGCGACAAGGTTGGTGTAGCCCTTATTGAGGACAAGACGCGGGAAGCGCGGCTTAGGTGGTTTGGTCATGTGAGTAGGAGGAGCACAGACGCCCCGGTGAGGAGGTGTGAGAGGTTGACATTGGAGGGCGTACAGTAGAAGTAGGCCAAAGAAGAGGTGAGGAGACGTGATTAGGCAAGACATGGCGCAGCTTCAGTTGACCGAGGACATGACCCTTGATAGGAAGGTACGGAAGTCGAGTATTAAGGTAGTAAAGTAGGTAGTCTAGAGTGTTCATTATAGTAGTATTGGCACGCTTTCTCGCTTTCTGTTGGTAATAGGTTTTTGTGACTAACCATTGTTTTATTTTATTGTTGATCACCTTACCATCTTGTTGTTTAATTTTTATTCTACTTTTATATTGCTTTTTGGTACTGTCTCTTCTTGACTATATTTTCATTAATGTGGTGCTCATGCTTTCCTGAGCCGAGGGTCTATTGGAAACAGCCTCTCTATCCTTAGGTAAGGATAAGATCTGCGTATACACTACCCTTCCCAGACCCAACGATGTGAGATAATACTGGTATGTTGTTATTATTTATAATATTACATCAAAATTAATGCTTTAATATTTAAATTATATAATAGACAAAATGTTCCCCATACCGACAATCCCTTCAATGCCTAAACCTATGTTGTGATAAACTAAAAGCCATAAAAAGATTTGGGTGAACAAAAATGCCAAAGCAAATTCATGATTGTAGGATTGAGCTCATAATGATCGGCAAATAGTCCTTTGCGCTCCTAATTACCTAACTTACTCTAATTCAAGAAATACAAGTTTAGACACGTCATAGAGAAATCTATATTCTAAAATATCTTCAATTGATAATCTAAACATTGCTCAAAAGAAAAATTTACAGTAAATCAATAATTTATCTGGCCTTCAATATCATAACCTTTTCCAATTTCCCTTTGGGATAGAGAGAGCAATGCATAACATGGTTTTCGTTCTTCGTCAAGGAGGATAAAGTTTCAATTAGTAGAATGTTGAGTTAGCAATTTTGGTAGTGACTTTGATAGTTCAGTTTCTTTTGAGAAAAAACATCAAATGTAGTATTTAATTATAAAATATTACTACAATTTATAGAATTAGTTTAGAGTAAATTTTATTTAAATTTTTGGGGAAAAAAACAATAAATGAGAGTGGTCAAATTGGTAGTGTCACGTTGAGAACTAATTCACTTGGTGTCTTGGTGAGTCTCTTGCATTCCGTAGTTCCATAGCTGACGTAGAAGATTATGTTGAAAAAATATTGGTTATGGTGAATCAGAATTAACTTGAGGCGTGTCAAGAATACTGTCCTTAAGGATATTTCGGTCACACAATAATGAATAAAATTAGGCGTATCCCTCAGGATTCAACAAGTTTTTCTAACTATAAAACTGAGAACAGAACTAGCAAAGAATTCAAGAAAGAAACTCAGCATATAGAAGGAAGAAGATGAATTAGAAAGTTATGTAAGAAAGTGTGTCTTTAGCTCTCCAAAGACCGTATTTATATATGTGTTGCTCCAACGGCTAGTTAACGGCTAGTTTGACTCTATTAATTGTAAAATAACTTACTAAATAATAAGTAGATGTAAATAATATTTCAAAGAAAAAAAATTTCCCAAACCAAGATGGACATTACCTTTTGAGATATCACTAATTTTCCAACAGATTATTCCCTACCCTCTCCACTTTTTCTTTTCTTTTGAACTAAGTGGGCTTTTGGATGTAAAAAATGTGAAATTTGAGGAAAAAAAGTAGTTTTTGAAGTTAAGTTAAAAAAAGATATTTGAAATGTATTTGGACATGCATTTCACTAACAGGATATTGTAGTTTTGTGAAATAAATATTGTTTACTTGAAAAAGAGGAAAAAATTATTTTTTCAAGTTTGAAACTTATTTTCAAAAAAATAAATAAAAATTAGAATTCATCTTTAAAAGTTCAGTTAAATGTATAACGAAATACTGATTTGAAAATATGTTTTGGAAAAAAAATTATAAGTAAACGGCTCCTAAAAAAATTTTTATTTTGTGCCTCACACAACTGACACTAGTTGCGTGAAGCACAAAATAAAATGAGTCCAAAACCTAAATGTTGTGGTTTTGGACTCAAAATACGTTTATACTGCCTAAAAAAAAGTTACTTTTCTATATATAACGCGGTATTATACTGCGCTATAGTTTAACGGTGTTTCTGCCGTTAAAGTATAGCGCAGTATAATAACGCGTTATATATAGCGCAGTATAATACCACGTTATATATGCGTGTTATTATACCGCGCTATACCTGTTAAATAAAAAACCCTTCTTCTTCCCGTGACAGAATCAGAAGCTCCCCCCCCCCCCGACTTCCAGAAACGAGACAGCGCCCTC